AGCAATTAGTCAAGCTCTGCTTGCAGACGCTTCCAATCCCCCCTACCTCTTGAATGGAGACGAAGAAACACGATCATTCATGCCTGGAATGTACTGAAACTAACAGAACAATTTCTCAGCGTATTTCGCGCAAGCGGTGGTACCATTGGATAGGCGACATCGAGACGTGAATAAGATAAACAGTGCAGGTGACATGTATGACCACTCGTGTTGTCTGGTGAGCCACAGGCTTGTTCATGCCGATCTGAACAAACTCTCTGAGTGAAACGTGGCCACCAGAAAAACAATGTGAGATTCTGTGCGATGCTCACCAACAACGGTTTGAGCAGCAGAAATTTTGACAGCGTGTTGCAGAATGAGCTGCAGTTCAGAAAGGCAGTCCTTACTAATGCTTGCCCTTTGTCAAAGTTACTAGCGACAATGGTGTTGACAAGTGCTATGTGTGCTGTGTCCTCAGACATATTAGAATCATCATGGTTTGGCAGTTGCAACGCCTGGAAATGAATCGTGGATAAGTTTTTCCGTTCAAATCTTTCTGACAGAATTGCTGGAGGTAATAAAGGATTCGTAAAACTTAAAACTTACAAAGAGAAGACTCTAAATGTTCATTTTCTTTTCTCAATCCATTTTCTCTTTCCGGCCGCAGGAAACAATCATGGTAACGATATTTGACAAAAGAAGTACTGTGCCGCGTATACTCCGTACTGGCTTCATAAATCGTAAAACAGTCACCAGACGAAGCAGCGGTATGGAAATCCCTTAAACGGCGATAATTACATGACTGTGGTACAGATGCGGCTGGGAACTTTTAGCTGATCCACAAAACAATTTTGCTATTCGGTTCGACAGTAGTGTCGAGGCAAGGCAAGATGTCGCCGAACGCGTCCACCACAGGTTGCGGATAGGAGAACGATCATAAGATTTGAGGGTTAGCGGCTAAATAAATGGGCAAGCCGACGAATAAGCAATCGCGGACAGCGTGACGAGAGAGCTATGAGGGTGCGACGAGCAAACGTTTGGAAAATTTGGATCTAAAAAAAACAGCAAGGCCTCATGACAACGCGGCCACATCTCGAGTACACGCCGTCATCAAATAAGCATGCTGCTAAGTCTAACGAATTGTACTGCAGCCGGTTCCCAGCCCGAGTGAGAAAGATAGGTTGGTATCAGGCAGGCAGCCAGCCGTAAAAACCAATGCCAAAGCCAAATACGACGAATCAACTTAGGTCAAGAAAGAATTCTAGGGCATTCTCCACAAGCGACGAGCAGCAAATCCCGGCGGGCGTAAAAAATGAGCAAGGGTATCAGTTCTTGCGACGATGACGACGACAATCGCAAAGGGAGATTCGCCTGCCACAAACGAATTGAGAAAATGCGAATAGCCACTTGCAACATTGGAACAATGATGAAAAAGGGCATGCAGCTAGCGGAAGCTGTTCTGAGAAAGAAAGTTCATATCCCTTGTGTTCATGAGACGAAATAAAAAACGAGAAGTCAAATGAAATCGGGCCAGACCACAAACTTATTTACTGTGGAACATGAAGCACAAGAAATGGAGTTGGAGTGGTACTGAATGAAGCGATCAAAAATACGGTATTCGAAGTGAGCCGAATTAACCACAGAATCATGCGCGTTAAGCGAAGTTCAGAAAGCGGCATCTTAAATATAAAAACTGCCATTTAGACTAGCCAGAATGAAACCGAAAATTCGACATGCTGGGACAGTCTAGACACTGCACTGCAAAACAAACCGCGTAACGAAAAAATCGAGGATAATCTTAACGGGAATGTCGAGAAACGGACTTACGACAGGATCCGTGAAGGACTTGTATATGGTGATATGTAAATGAAGAAGGATATCTTGCATATGATCTGGCTTTGCTAAACACGTTATTCCAAAAAAGAGAAAACCACCTGCTAACTTGCAAGAGCGGACAGATAAAAAGTTAGATCGACTTATTCATGCTCCAAAGAGATGAACTAAAGAACGTCAGAGACTGCAAAGTTATCCTTCGAAAAACTATCACAAGCTAGCACCAACTGCTGGCCCTATTCCTCTCTCTCAAACAGCCCACTGATACGGTGGAAATGGCGACACCCCGATGATAGAGTGGTGAAAGTCGAAGCGAAGCTGAACGAAGCGTTCGAGATGAAAGTTACGAGAAAATGACGAAGGAAGTCTGTAACAGGAAAGTGGACGAAGTATGGCAGCGAATGGCCAGCATAATCATAAGGAATGCCGAGGAGAAACAAAAGGCACAACACATATCCAGAAAGAAACGTGGTGGTGGAATGCGAACGTCAGGCGACAGTATGGCAAAAGAAAGAGCTGTCCAAGGAATGGCAGCTGTCAAACTGCTGCGCGCAAAACAGAGCAAAAATGCTAGATCGAAGAGGGAGGCAAAGAAATTCGTCGCTGAAGCAAAGTCTATATATAGTGTGTAATAGCCTATATGAAAAACTGACAATGAAAGAAGGGGAAAAAGACATCTGTTGCATAGCAAAAGCCAGAGGAAGAAAAACTTGAGATGACGGTGAAGTGAAGTGCGCAAAAGACGAAAGCGGAATGATGCTGACCGATGAGAAAAATATTCGCAACCAATGGCGAAGGCACTTCCAAAAGCTGCTAAACGAAGAACATCCCAGAGAGGTTGCTTAACCAGAGTCTAGTGGAAAAGATCTCACTTGATAAAGTGAAACAAGTCCTGAGCAGAATGAAAAATAAAAAAGTCCTTGGCCCGACAGAGTTCCCATAGAATCATGGAAAGCATTAGAGTAAAAAGACGTGGCTTAGCTCTGCATGCTATTCAACAAAATTATAACATGAGAGAAAATGAAAGAATCGTGGAGGTAAAGCATTCTGATGCCGATGTGCATAATGAAAGCAAACAGGCTCGCCAGTGAAAACTACTGCGGAATTAATGAATGCTTAGTCACACCATGAAGGCATATGAGAGAGTGCTGGACAAAAGACTGAGCAAGGAGGTAGACATCATGGCGAACCAGCTTGGTTTTATGCGAGGTCGGTTAACCACGGATGTCGTCATAGCCTTAATATCAGTCTTCGAAACATATAGAGAAGGCAGAGGACATTTACATGCTGTTCTTCGATCTGGAGAAAATATTTACTGAATTGCAAGGCGAGCAATCTGGAGGAACATGCGAAAGAAGCTGATGCCAGAAAAATATGTCAGGCTTATCAAAGACAAGCATGATAGGGCGAAAACGATAGTTTGAAGTAAATGCGGAGAAATGAGGACTTTCGTGTGCTGGTAGGAGTCTGCAGTGAGACCATTTCCGTTCTTGGTGGCGACAGACGCAATAACTGGTTATATGAAGGAAGCAGCTCCAAACTGCATGCTCGATGCAGATTACATTGTGTTATGCAGCGAAAACAAAAACCAAGGCATAGAGAACAGCATATGAGAAAGTCCTTCGACTCAGCAAAGGCAATTTAGAATATATGGCGGCTATTTCAGTAGAAAAAACAGATTTAAAGCCGCCAAATCAGTGAAAGTAGAGGGAAGATTACTGCCTCAAATCCAAGAATTCGACCGAGGTAAGAAATCGGTCGAAAATTACTTGGTTCAAATGGAGAGAAGTAGCGAAGTACTGTGAGACAAGAAGAGGTCCATCAGGCTGAAAGTGAAGATGTACAGAATGATACTAGGAACGGTGCTTCTGTAGCGGAATGTATGGCTACCCTGAACAGACACGACTACAGCTGAACGTGGTGGAGATGCAAACGCTCAAATGGATGTATGGTGCCTGAAAAAAAACCAACTCCGAAACCGTCAGTCCCTGCGTAGCACAAATTTCAGAAAAGCTCATCGAAAGCAGGCTCCGTTGGTTAGGCAGCGCGATGAGACCAGTCGAGTACGTTAGAAGTGTGGTCCAAGCACTGACAAAGCTAGGGAAGAAAAGAAGAGTAAGACCAAAGAAAAGGTGGCGCGATGCTCTGAAGAACGACATGAAACTACGATGAGTCACAGAAGATTTAACCAAAGACATAAAAATGTAGAAACGGCTGGCTGAATTAGCAGACCTCTGTCAAAGGAATGATGCCAGAAAAAAAATAAGAAAAAGAGAAAGAGGACGAGGAAGAAGAGGAAAAAGAATAAAGCCGCTCTGCAAAAGCCAGTATTCGTCACCGATTCATCAACAACGCACACTTACGGTACAGAAACGTCTACTGTTAGTCCATCGTGCTCGACATCGTCCATCTTCCAAGACAACGTATAAACGACATCAGATTAAAAGAACCGTCTTTGCCGAAGAAAATAAGCTTCTGTGTGGTGCAACTTTTGCCAGAAACTACGTGTTTTTTTTTTACTGATTTGCGCTCATTTACTAGAATTCACTTAACGTTTTAGTTCTATAAACTTTACACTGATTTTCACAGCCGGATATATTTTAGTTTGGGCAGAAGCACCTACTGAGGACTTTTCTAACGAATCCGGTGATCAATCCCTGCAGATATATGCACAGGATGGAAGTAGTAATAATTTTACGTTTAAGCTACAGTATGTATAGTCAAAACATAACCCCATTACGCCGAGTAAACCCGATATTTGAAATTGAAATATCACGATTGTCCTGCAGAATTGGAACGCTGTTTATCACACGGTTATGTATCAGGGCCATGCTTTGTACATAAATTTAATTTTGCTCAGTGGCAGATTTATTTGGTGTGTAAACGAGCCGTTCTTCAGACCAGTGCAGAGATGCTGTCCGGTATTCAAGGCTCCCTGACTAGAAACACGGGGTAAGTGCGCTTATGCCAGAAAACACGGTATCAGAAACTGAAATATTATGAACATTTTAATACGGAAAGTGATAAATGAAAAACCTTAAGTATTGGGTAAATGAAATAAAGTTCTTCGTATACCCTGCGCAAATTATAAGCTTTCACTGACTTCACGGATTAAACTATGCCTAAAACCTATAAAGCACAGGTTCGAATCCCAGAAACAGCTCAGTCTTCAGGACAACGGATTCAAAGTTCAACTGGTACCAGTCAATGACTGCTTGAACTGGCGAAGAGTCAAATCAACACAAGGTCAAAAGGAAAAAATCAGGGTTACGAGCAAAATGAATGGCCTGGTCAGCGAAGCGTACCGATTTTTCGGTCTTTATCGCGAACAGCTGGTGCTTGTTTTCCGGAAAGCCGTAGATGAAACTGAATGCCCTGTTGTCCGTCACGTCTCGAGAGATGAACGACACCTTGGACACAGGAAATACGTGCAGCACGTTCTATAAGGAATGCACAAATGAGCACCGGAAACAGGAGACATGACACAGTGACATTAGGCCTGTGAGTATTCGACCTACCTTCGAACCGAGGTCTTTGATTTTCAGGCCCTCCAAAGAAACGTTGAAAAGAACGCGCTGCTTATGCTGACCCGATTTTTTCGCCAACGCCTATAACGCGAAACCTTAATGGGAACACGTGATCCGAACTGCTTTCAGGAAGTAAGTATTTAAGATCACGACACATTTTAACCGTAGCATACAACCAACGTGGCAACAGCACCAATTAATGCTTGTTCACCGTATAAACAGACGACTAATTGCTGCGGCTATGCCGAGAACATGAAACCTGCAGCCGATTCCGTTAACACCAGCTGGACCAACAAACACATTCTGAGGGCTTTCGTATAACACAGCAGAGTGAATAATGATTTTTAATGACACTGGTTTCGTTCTTCAGCTTACTGCAATCTACTGACGAACCAAAGTCTGTGTGCGTGCGTGTGCATGTTTGATCATATGAATATTACCCATGAAATGTCAGTTACGATTTCTACAAATACACAGACGAATGGCAAATCGGGACAGTTTGGTTGATTGAACGTCAGACTTAGTGTCGAGGAGTATTCGGTTCGAATTTCAACCGGAAACTGGTTTTTCATCATCTTGAGGTAGACCAATGAGCAGCAATGTGCAGCAGCGAAGCTGGTGACTGTACGCTACTATAGTTACATAACTTTAACATGCTGCCTTGATAAAAAAAATATATAGCATTATATATTTAATGGCCGTAACATAGGCTCTACTGGAATAAACTTCTAGATTCTGAAAATTTTCCCGATATGTAGGTACTAGAAAATAATAGTGCACAAATGATACCAGGTTTCGACTGGGCATTC